GAGCCTGCTCCGGAGCGTCATGGAGACGGATCCGGACAGCGAGGGCTCCTTGGGAGAGGTGGTAACTCAGGACGTTTGGGGTTCAGCCGCGGTGCGTCCCAGTAGCTTGCTCACAGGTTGCGCACCATCGGCAGTCCTGTCTTGGGCAGAGCAGTGCTCTGTCCTTTTGTTCCACCCGGAGTGCTGACGACTGCCCTTATCACCTGTCGCCACCTGAGGCACGGCTGATGTAAGACAGACGGAGTGGCCTTAACAGTTCCCTTTATTAACGGTTTTGTTTTGTTTCAGTCTTCACCGGAGGATGTGTTTTACTGATTTTTTAGAGGAGGGTGGGGAACATCGACGTAGGACACCCACATCCATCGGTTTCCTCCCATACCCACCCCCAGCAGCTGTCCAGCCAAAACCTGGGCATGTGCCCTGACCAGGGCTCGAACTGGCAACCTCTTGGTGCTCAGGACAACACCCCCGCCAACCGGGCCGCACCGACCGGGCTGCTAACCAGTTCTGTGGCGAGCTGGTTCCCCGGCGTCTCCCAAGCAGATAACGAGGGTTTCCCCTCGTTAAACTATTTGGTGTGTTTCACTCTGTTGTGATTATTCCTCTTGAAGCTTCAGTTACCCCATCTTTGGAGTTACCCCGTCTTTGGAGTTACCCCGCTCAGATGGCCTCATCCTTGGGTGCAGCTTCATTCTCCTGATCGCGCCCTCGATTTCCTATGTGACGTGATTTTTCAGGTTACCCAGATGTGTTCCTTGCCCTGCACCTAAAATCAGCCACTTCCCTGGTAGCCATGGTTCCGTTCATTGCGAAATACTATTTAGAGACCAGAGTTTGGGGGACAGGGGAACTTGTGGCCATGGGGTTGTCATTGTTTTTAGGCTTTTTCAGTGGAATACTCAAGAATTGTAAGATTGTTTTTCTTTCACTAAGGATACAGTTAAGTGACTGTCTTAAGGACCCTAGAAATAGTGTCTGTGTGTTAATCCTTTACTCAGTACAGAGTTCACGTTTCCTTTTGTTTTTATTTTTAGGAATTTTCTTTGAAATGTAAAACAGTTATTTCAAAGAGACCGATTTATAAGACAAGGTGCCTCACAGACATCTCAGTCCCCAGCTCCTCCCTCCCTCCCCCAGGTTGCCTGGTTTGGTTTGGGCTTAACCTTTTTACTTCTAAATGTAATGTGTGTGTGTGAACGTTCATAATCGATCCGCGGCTGAAACACGTAGGTGAATGTGGAAATGTCACTTGGAACCTTCTGGTGAGAGAGCAGGAGCAGTGGCCTGGTCCAGGCAGGGAGGCCGAGGGCGCTTTCTGGGTGATGGAGAGTCAGCCCTGTGCTCCTCCCTCCTGCACACTGCTCGGGACAGTTGCTGGCACCGTAGGGTTCGGTCTCGGGGCAGGAAAGAAGCAGGCCCAGGACCCCAGGAGATAGGGAGAAGGGCCAGTGGGACCGAGCGTCACGTTCTAAATGTCATATTCCTGGAGTAAAAGTTTGAAAGCAATTTTGTGTTTAAGATGTAAATCAAACTCGTTTTAAAGATAAGCAGGTTCATTTTTAAGAAATTCTGTGTTTATTTCAGCTTACTGAATTAACTTATTTATTCTGAGCTGTAATTATCTGGGTCTCATGAAGCTTCTCAAGTAACCTTTTCACTCTCATTTTTTCGGATCTGTTTTTAATAACCAATTCTTCCATTTTTTTATTTAGGGCAACAGAGAAGTTTCCCGATTGTAGAACGAAACGCGGCAGCCCTACCACCTGCACTGTCGACTACCTGCCTGTGTATTTTGTCAACATTGAAGTCTGGGTGGAAGCGGAGAACGCCCTTGGGAAGGTTGCCTCAGACCACGTCAACTTTGACCCTGTGGATAGAGGTAGGTACGGGCCTGGATTTGAGAACTTACTAAGACTTAGTGACTTTAATGTAGAAACAGACATTTATTTTGTTAGTGACTTTTACAAATTCATTTTATCAACATTAAAAATAATTTGGAAAAAGAAATATACCCATAATCCAACCACATTCACAGCTATTTTCACATTGAATGTTATCTTCTGATATTTTGTCTGCTTACCAAACATCTTATAGGATTATAATCATGGTATATATATATATATATATATATATATATATATATAT